ACTGCCTTGTACCCTAACCCAAAGCACTTCAGAGTGCCCCTCCCCTGACTCCTTACTAATTGACGAGGATGTGTATTCCTCCTTTATGTAGAGTGCCACGCCCCCACCTCTCTTTCCTATCCTGTCCCTCCTGTACAGCCTATAGCCCTTGACATTCACCGCCCAATCATGCGTTGAGTCCCACCACGTTTCCGTAATCCCCACTATGTCCAGGCTGGTATCAGCCAGCAGGAGGGTGAGTTTCTCCTGCTTGTTACCCATACTACGAGCGTTTGTGTAGAGGCATTTGAGGCCTCCTGTAGATGTGTGTACTGACCCCCTAGTCCCAGCGTTACCCTGGCCCCTATCTCTTACCTGTTTATTCGCTACGCTACATATCTTAAGAGACTAAAGCATACTCTTTAACAAAGTTAGAAGAGGTAAACGACAAATAAAAGGCCTGGGCACTTTTGTTTTAGTTTTTATGAGGACTGTTTGATCTCCTTTGTAGTTGAATGCTCTCAACAGAAGAAAAAACCCAGCACTGGTCATTTTAATGGTATGTGGAAAGTCACGCAAGATAATACTACCACATTTAGATGCAATGCTGTTTTTCAGCTTTTGCTCAATTCCACTTACAGAACAAGAGTCTGCTCTCTTAAAAGCTCAAGAGAACCAGAAAATGGATCAAATATTTCTCTGGTTCAGATATGCAATCCACAAGCTCTTACAGGCAATTTTAAATAGAGTCTCTAAACTACACTTCACCAAAAAATAAAATGTGGCCATGATAAAAAAAAAAGTACTTTTCTAAAGAATCATTGTTAGGGTAAATTGTTTTCTCCTACTCTAAGACACTTTATCTTATTTTACTGTATTTATCTACATCACACAGGCAACTCACTTTGCAGTGGTCATACTGTTGCTGTAAAGTAGGAACATCTCCTCCAATGGGCATCTGCTTTTTCAGCTCCTCGTCTTTTGTATTCAGCCATTTGATTAGCTCTTCTAGTGATGTCAGCAATCTGTTCCACTTCTCTGCACTTGCCTCCAAGTGAGCCCTGAAAAAAATCATAAAAGTATCTTCAGAGGCTTGAGCACCATTCAAAACCAAAATAGACTTGATTTGAAGAAACGGTCCCCGTGAAAACAGGAATGTATCTCTAACACCTAAATGCAAAATAAGTGCTCAAGCAGCACCTTAAAAAAAAATCACTGCTTTAAAACATTTTGCACAGCAGAAATGAACTGGAGAGATGGCAGGATGTAGACTATACCTTTCTGATGGCAAAACACTGGGAGATGCACATGTGATAAGGAATATCCCTACAGATAGGGAACAAAACACTGGGAGATGCACAGGATAAGGAATATCCCTACTCTCTGCAATGAAACTGATCTTGGAGTATTGCAAATGTATATGTATAACCTTTGTGCCACAGGATTTTTAAAGAAAACTCTCTCTGATGCCGGGGCCTAAATCTCTAAGAACAATCTACCTCAATCACCAGGTGTTCAATGTGTTTATTAACAATTTAGATGCTGGCACAGAAAGCTTCTTGAGCAAGTCTGTGGACAACACAAAACTGGGAAGGATTGTGAACATGGAGGGTACAAGTACAATTCAGAAGGATCTCAACAGATTGGAAAGCTGGGCTAGAGCTAACAGGATGAGGTTCAATATGGACAAAAGCAAGGTGCTAAACCTCTCAGGAATAATCAAAAACACAAATACAAAACAGGGGACACCTGGATGGATGGTAGCTCTATGGCAAAGGACTTGGGAATCTTGGTGGACCACAGACTCAATATAAGTCTGCAGTGTGATGCAGCCACACAAAAAGTGATGGTGATTTTGGGCTGCATCATTAGAAACCTTACGTACAAGACATGGGAGGTGATAGTGCCTCTCTACTCGGCACTAGTTAGGCCTCATCTGGAGTACCGTGTGCAGTCCTGGGGTCCACATTTTAAAAAGGATGTGGAGAAGTTAGAGAGGGTCCAGAGGCAAGCAGAGATGATCAAGGGCTTGGAAGGCAAGTCATTTGAGGAGAAGCTGAAAGAGACAGCCATATTCTACTTGCAGAAAAGGCACTTAAGACATGATAGCAGGCTTCAAATACTTGAAGGGCTGCCATATAAAAGAGAGAAAGCAGCTTTCCTCTCTTGCTGCAGATAGGAGGATGTGGACCAAAATTTTGAAATTGCAGCAAAGTAAATTTAAATTGGATACCCAGAAAACCTCCTTCACTCTGAAAATAGTGAGGCAGTAGAATAAACTAGGGAAGTTGTGGATTCACCATCACTGGAGTTATTCAAGATGTTGGACAACCACTGGTCAGTGATGATTTAGGCAGAGCTATGCCTATTTTCTACCATGGGTAATTCCCACACTTCTTGGCTTTGCTGGTTGCTCCTGCTCTGCCCCCTTTCCCACATACTTTTTCTGCTACATGTATCAAGGTGTTTTTAATGCCCCAGAAGTACTGGGTGCTAGCTACAGCTAAGGCTGGGGACTTCAACTGGGGTATGCCGATTCTCCTGTTAGAAGCAAAGCCAGAGATTCCTTACTAGAGGGTATTGCCCCGCTGCTCAGGGTCAGGCCGACTGCCGTATCTGGGGTCAGGAAGGAATTTTTCCTCATGGTCACAGTCATACAGACTGTGGGGGGTTTTGCCTTCCTCTTGAGCATATACTGGCAATATTTTACAGAAGCATGACATTGGCTGCTGTGTTTCCTGTGCTTTACCTTTGGCAGGTTAGAGTGTTAGGTCTGTGTTGTGTAAGGGTTAAGGATAGTCTTATGTAGAGTTTAGATTATGGTTGTATGGGATGGTTTGGATAGGGATGCTTCTGCCTCAGGCAGTGAGTTGGACTAGATAACCTCTGGAGGTCCCTTCCTGTCGTCCTTCTCTATGACTCTATAACTATGACAGTAAGGTATTAATCCTGAATAAGTAAAAACATAGTAATGGCATAGGTTTTTCAGGATGACAGCTTACTCTAGTATTATGCAGCAATGCAATTAACAAGCATGCCCTCATGCTAATTTCTCTTTTGTAGTGCCAGCTATTTGCCGTTTTCATTGTCTGGCCCCCCTCTCCCTCCCTTTTTGGTTTAGTCATAATAGTCAAGGTCAGCATTGTCCAATTTGTGGCCCATGAATTTAACTACTGTGGCCCACCATCACTCCCTTGATGCTGCTATCAGGGTGTCTCTGCCTCTTTCAGATTCCTTTTACTGCCCCTACCCCTGGCAGGCAGGACAACCTGGCAAGGGACCTTGTGGCCAAGAGGTTTGGGGGACCCTACCCCTCATGAAATGTAGCATGGCACCCACTACATGGCAGGACAGGGGCTCTTGCATGGTGCTGCACATGACCCACACACCACACAGCCTAGGGAGAATGCATCCTGCACTGATTATAAGTGGGGCTGCAGGACCACACGGAAGTTGAACAGTCCTGATCCAGGTACCTGATCTTGCATATTACCTAAACCAGGTATTATGCAAAAAGCAAGATGTAACAGAATTTACTGGACCAACTTTTTAGTTGCAAGAGATATCAGATAGGCTTTCAGGCACAAAATGCCATGTCTCAGGTCACATTTAGCCCAGACTTGACTTGAGGAAGTCCTGATTAGCCCAGATCTGAGAAAGAGCATTTTTCAAAAAAGCCTAACATCTCACAATTAAAAACCTGCTTCAGTAAAAGATATTACCCAATAAATCTAATTTCTTGCATAATGTTTCTGAGTACTTTTGTCATGTCATGTTGCTTAGTTTCTTCTGTCCCTCCAAATACAAACCATTCACTGTCCTGAAGACATCCCTGCATTATCTAGACAATTGCAGAGAAGTCCTTTCCAAGGTCCTTCTGCTCCAATTTAATTCCAATCTTTCTATGCATATCTATTCTATGATTAATTTTGAGCTCCACATGCAATTATCTTTCCCTGGTAAACAATAATTTTACTTGTCACGTGTCAGATGGGTTACAGAGCAGCACTAAATTCTTTTCAATTTAACTTGGTGCTTCTTCTGTGTTCTCTGCTGCCCCTGTGCTGATATATCAGCAGATTTCACTTTAGTATTTTCTGCATTTTCTTTGTGCCTCTTTTTAATACATTCGCTAATTTAAAAGCCAACATCCAAAAATTATTTACCACCTCAGGCATGTAGCTTTTTTCATTTGACCGTACATCACTTGCCACCTTCTATACTGACCTCTGTGTTGACTAATTTAACATGTATCGTGTGTTGTAAAGCCTACTCCAAGAAGATCTTAGGAAGGTTTGTGGTTCCAGGGTGAGAAGAATTTGAGTTACATAAATTGGAAGGCACTTCGTGGTGGGCTTATATGGGGTGAAGACAGATTTGGATGATGAATGTATCTCCTCCTCCCCACCCAAGGAAAGGTGAAAGAGACGACTTTAAGTGAGAGTATCATATTCTCCTCTACTTCATTTCAGAAAAATATTTAAGTACCTATTATGTCTTTACCATTTCCCTAAAATGTCTCTCTCATGAAAGAAGGACCTAAGCATACAATTTCCCAATTCAGAGGTTCTAATTTTATAGGCTCCCTATTACTGACTCTCATTTCTCAATACTGAATTCAAGCCATCCATCTGTAGAATGGGCCTGACTGCCGCAACCAATTTCCTGCTCTGCACCCAATGGTGAGTGAAGTACTGCCTGGAAATACGAAAAGTAGTCTGTGAATCCATACTGCTCTGCTGCAACATGTCAGAAATTCAAGGTACATTCATCATTTGGCCCTCAGGCCTCAAACAGTCCCCGAGCTCTTGGAAGAATGACAAGACGCTCCCAACTCGCACACCTGGCCTCATCTTCCGTCTATCAGAACTAACCAGGATTATATTCAAGTCAGAGGAACTTAACACATTCGTACTGCACACTGGTACCCACATGGGTATGTGCAATGTAGCTACTGCTCTATAAATTCCTAGCTCACTTTACTGTAACTCGCTGGTACAGTCTTCATAGGTGAGTGTATTTCAGAACAGCAAATTGTATTTGATGTGCACAGCTTGTATTCACCTATTTTAATTTAAGCTGATTTTTTTCTGTAAGACCTCTAAAAAAATGTAAATCTTAAGGAAATCCAGTGTTTTCACCAGATCACTTTCTCCTGAAGATCCCTAATAGCACCAAACCTACTTAGAGCAGGTGAAATGGCATGATGCCTCCTGTACATTTGTCAACAGTCTTCTTTGTACTTTTTTACTTTAATTCACTGCTTTGCTATTAGACTCTCAAGCTGACACTGGCTTTACTTTTTAGTTTCACAGAAATGAGACATTGATGGAGATCTTTTTAGTACAATTTACAAGTAGAATATCTATATATCCAAAGTTCACATTTTTCTAACATGAGCTAAACATTTAATTACTTCTATATGATCCATATACATTTCTTACATCTCTCAAACCTGGAAATGTCTAAAATATTATCATAGAATCATAGAAAATTATGGTTGTAAGGGACCTCAGGAGGTCATCCAGTCTAACCCCCTGCTCAAAGCAGGACCATCCCCAACAAGATCATCCCAGCCAGGGCTTTGTCTAGCTGGGTCTTAAAAATCTCCAAAGGATGGAGATTCCAAAACCTCTCTGGGTAACCTGTTCCAGAGCTTTACTACCCTCTTAGTGAGAAAGTTTTTCCTAATATATAACCTAAACTTCCATTACTGCAACTTAGAGACCATTGCTTCTTTTTCTGTCATCTGCCACCACTGAGAATTCTCGCTCCATCCTCTTTGAAACCCCGCTCAGGTAGCTGAAGGCTGCTATTAAATCCCACCTCAGCCTTCTCTTTTGCAGACTTAATAAGCCCAGTTCCCTCATCCTCTCCTCATAAGTCATGTTCCCCAACCCCCTACCCATTTTTGCTGTCCTCCGCTGGACTCTCTCCAATTTGTCCACATCTTTTCTGCGGTGGGGAGCCCACAACTGGACACAGTACTCACCAGTGCCAAATAATCACTTCCCTTGACCTGCTGGCAACACTCTTACCAATGCAGGCAGTATGCTGTTAG